AAATTATGTATTGAAATATACCTAAAAATTGATTCAAAACTATGATCTCTTATTCCAAAAATATTTTCTAACAAAGAAATTGCAAAATATGTGCTGCAAAAAAAGAAGAAAAAAGTTTGAAAATACTATGAAAATAAGCATTTTGAAACCTTTGGTATACTCAAGTAGTCATATTTATGAATTATATTTAATATAACAAAATAGTAAGTAATAAATTCTTCAATTAAATAGAGTAATTAAAAATTTATCACTACCCATTTTGAGTTTATCACTACCCAAACATGTTATCACTGCCCCATAGAATATGCACTGGTCACAGATACGAGGTGGTCTTGTCTTTATATTTATAGTACGGGTGAATTAGTTTTTTTTTTCAAAAATCGGGCCTACCTCGATTTTTATGGGCTTAAAATTAAGTAAAAAATACACAGAATAAAAGTCAAAATTGGTGTATTTGTAAAGGTCGAGCGTCATATTGTTTATAATAAAAAAATTGCTCTTTTTTCAGTTTTTTGCTTATATCTCCGAAAAAAAGCCTCTAATCGACATGAGGCATTCTTATCGAGTTTGCTCCTGAGGTAATTTACAAGGATAGATTTTGCGAAAGCTCGCAAAATTTTTTTTACATTGCAAAATTAGCGGTGAAAAAAAATTTGCAAAATTTTCAGCATTAAATAAAAAGTACGAATTTGACTGAAATTGGATGAAACTACAGGAAAAGATAACTATTGAGGTGCTCAACAAATACCCTCAATCCAAACCCCAATTTCAAAATTGCGACCTATTTCAAAATTAAAAGTCGAAAACGAGCGCGTAAAATAAGCATTTTGAATCCTTTGGTATACTCAAATAGTCTTATTTATGAATTATATTTAATATAACAAAATAGTAAGTAATAAATTCTTCAATTAAATAGAGTAATTAAAAATTTATCACTACCCATTTTGAGTTTATCACTACCCAAACATGTTATCACTGCCCCATAGAATATGCACTGGTCACAGATACGAGGTGGTCTTGTCTTTATATTTATAGTACGGGTGAATTAGTTTTTTTTCAAAAATCGGGCCTACCTCGATTTTTATGGGCTTAAAATTAAGTAAAAAATACACAGAATAAAAGTCTAAATCTATGTATTTGTAAAGGTCGAGCGTCATATTTATAACAAAAAAAAAATTGCTCTATTTTCAGTTTTTTATATCTCCGAAAATAAGTCTCTTAACAATTTTGTTCTTGCAAAATTTTCAGCATAAAATAAAAATAACGAATTTGACTGAAATTGGATGAAACTACATTAAAAGATAACTGCTGGGGTGCTCAACAAATACCCCCGTTCCGGACCCCCAATTTCAAAATGGCGGCCAATTGCAAAATTATAATGTCGAAAATGCGAGTGTGTATATCTTCTGCCCAAGTCAAGATATCGAAATTTAGTAAAAAAGGATC